TTAATGATGAAATCTGATGTTTAAATTTATATAAAGACAAACATTAATATTGAGACTGAAAACTCCTAAAGTAGCAATCAAAAACATAAATAATAAACAAGTGAAGACAATGAAGGACTTACTAATATGTAATTTTATAAGATAATCAAATAGAATAATATTCATTTATCAGTGATTATTTTTCTCTCAATAACAGACTTTTTGGCAAAATTTTATATATCCTAGGTAAATATTCACTATATTTAAATAATTGATCTTAAAAAAGAAAACCATGGAGAATACAAACATTCCTTGAAAACAAGCCATTTTCAGTTTGTCAACAAAAAAATATATTCATGATATTAGCTATGAAACACACTCATTTCTAAAATTTATTCAATTTTGATCTAACAATATTGAATTGGAGTAGGAACATTATTATAATCAAAACTGAAGTTCTAAAAAACAGTTGAATGATGAAAAAAATAAAAATTTTTATTAATAATCTATTGCTGAAAGACTTTTCCTAATGTAATTGAAATAAATAAATGAATAAATTTTTAAAATCTCAAATATATTAAAAATCTAATGGAGTACTATGATAAAACTGAAATTGCAAACTTCGTTTACCTAATTATTTGACCTAAGTTTAATTGGTTAGAAAAATACCTTAATAGAGAAAAATATCATCAAAACATGTATCATTTCCAACCATAGGTGTCTGCAGAAAATTTTTCCAGGAGGGCAAAGCTTGGAGACAAATAATTACATCAATAAATTTTTAAATTTTTTTGGGAGATTTTTCCCAAGTACTGCATCAAAGCATCCCATGGTTAAGGATATAAAGTTACAAACTCAATCACTTTTATGATTATAACTTGTGGAAGTTTTTACTCAATCCTGGGGAGGGACAAGTGCCCCATTTACCACTTTTTTATTGACATTGAAGTTTCCAACAACTATATTTGAGACACTTCTAATTTTTCAGTTATGATGATTGAAACTGATATTTTAATAAAATTTTATTTTTCATTTATGTTTTTTTCTTAAATTGAAAACTTTTAGTAGATAATAACATTTATATTCTAAATAAGGANTTGCTGAAAGACTTTTCCTAATGTAATTGAAATAAATAAATAAAGTTTTATTTCGTAAATTTAAAGATATTAGAAAGTTTGCATATAGTTTGTGAGAGAGTTATACTTATAACATTATGACTTTTCATAGTGTTTTAAGTATAAAAAAAGTCTTCTATTATGAGCTTACATTATAAAGTTGTAATAGTAGCCAATCAAAGTAGCTTAAAATGGGGTCAATAAAACATAGCAAAAAACCTCATCACTTTTTTCAAACTTACTGAGTAAGAGGAGGACACAACTTCATTTTTCTGACACTAAAATTTATAAATAATCTGAAAATAATGTTTGAAACATTTTTGATATTAAATCTATTAGTTTGATATAAGCATTCCAGTTCCTTAGCAGTTTTCTGTATAGATTTATATACATAGTGATTTTCCAATTCTTCCAGATCAAGGCTTGAATGATATTCAGATCAGTATAAGAAATTCTATAATGATCACTGAATGATCATTACAATATTTCTTAATTAATAATTTAATTTTTGTTTTGTTACTTATTTAATTTGAAGTTATAACTACCATCTGTCAAAAGCCTTTATTTTCAAAATGTATCATAAATATAATGAGTACTCATATAAATGCCATCTATAATATTTAATATTACACTATATATAAACTTGTAAAGCATAAAAGAAAATATCACTGCATAAACTCTCTATTGAAATAAATAGATCAATAAAATATGTTTAATTTATACATATTTCAGGCAGTTATTTTGCTTTATAAATAAAAACATAGTAAGGGCTCTGTAAATTTTTTAAAATTTTAACTAGAGTCCTGGATAACTCAACATTCTGTAAAACTCAACATGTTGTTCAAAAAAATAAGTGATCTAATTTCTAACTCTATAACTAAACACTAGGATCAAATAAGTTATCGTTATTCACTAGCATCAATTTCGCATATTAAAGCATATACAGTGGATTCTCAATCTATTGTTTTTGGCAGAAGTTGGAGGAAAAAATGACTGATGCAGGAAAATGATTGACATGGGAAATTTATGATATTGATGCTTTTATTGTTTATCTCATATGAAATGTGTATTTTTCAGTGATAGAATATATGATGCCTTTCTATAATACTAAACGATATGGAGTATGTGCACAGACATTCATTTATTCTATATTTTAAAAAATTGTTAAGAATACTGAAATTTGTTTTATTTTCTTTTGGTAAGAATACTTAATGTATTGACTCTTTTCTTGCACTTGAAGATGATACCATAGAAGTGTTGAAAATATTAGTGAAATTATAAATTTTTGTCACTTATGATGTGTTGATTCTCTTACAGAAAAGGGTTCTGATTTTTCTCACTTGTCCAGACATGATCTCTTCTACCTCAAGACAATGCAATGTTGCCAATTGTATAGGAGAAAATCATTGTATTTCCTATTAACTTTGAAATTATTGTATTTCACTTAAATTTATTGTACATCTATCTTGATCCTTTATACAGGGATGCACAACCTTTTCTGAAGAAGGGCCAGGTTAGGATTCAGTTTACCGACCAGGAGGCCAGACCATTTTACAACACTTTTTGTTACATTCTAGATTCTGATTGGTATAGTCGAAGGAGGTGTAGTTTTGACGGCAATTTTCCCAGGCTTCAGATTCTTGGTTACTTTAATTAGATAAAGCCAAATCTTTCAAGCCAGAAAGTGCCAATCTGAGCTTAAGTAATAGTTTTATTGTCCAATCAAGTGGAAAAGGTTCTCCATAGACTTAACATAGGAAGGGTTTGTTTCACTGCATTAAAGTAACAGGACCCATATCACAACAGAGTGAATAATCCATAGACACACTTGAAAGAAGGGATTTGGCCTGTACCTTTTGCAGGCCACATAAACATTGAAAGGGGCAGTATGTGGCCCCCGGGCCACAAGTTGTGCATCCCTGCTTTATACTTGCACCTTATATCCACAGAAATATTATCAAGGTTCTCCCTAAGTCAGAATCTCGTAAACTTTTCATCTGCAATCCCTTCTTACAACAAAAAAGTTTTTAGACTCCATTTAGCAATGAAATTTTCATGACACACCCTTATAATATATGATGCAAAACAAACCTCTGAATAAGCATAAGCTAAAATTTACATTTTTTTCATACAATTTCAACATACCAAACATTAACAGATTATTATTAACAAATATGTAACACATTCCTTTATATACCATACTTAGTTCATATGAATAAACCTTAGTTTTTCCAAATTTTCGTCACCATCTAAAATTTTTTGTCCACTCCTCAAGTAATTGCAACTCTCTATGCCAAAAAAGTTTTAGTTCTAGACAATTCACTAGATGGAAACTTCTCTAAAAGTACTATATTAATACATTTTATTACATTTTGTACAAGTAGAAGCATAATGGCATTTCAAGAGAATATTTATTTGCATAAATTTTCTTTTCACATCAATTTGGGTATTTTATCAGTAGGTGTAAAAGTATAGCAGTTAGTAGTCTCAAAAAGTATAACAAAGGTGCACTTTAGAAATCAAGAATATATCAATCTAAAAACTTCCCAAAAATTTAGTAGCCCTCTGGCAGCAAAAAAAAAACACACACACAATATCAATGAAAAGGTGATATGTAAAAAAGGAACTGCAAACTGGTTTTTTCAAAAATTAACGGCTGTTTTCAGAGTAAAGCATATTACACCTGAAGATGGCCTATTCTATTAGGTTGAAAATGTCAGTGTTTTATTTAATAAACAATTCTCAGTAACAGAAGATGTATTGATAGTTCATTAAGTATCTAAAAATCTGAGTTTGATATTTGGTTAGTAAAATGGCAGCACTGGCCAAGAATTATAAACAGTATAGGAAATTGACATTGAAGATTGTAAAGGTAAAGCATATTTATGAAATTATCATATAAAACCCTATTATCATTCAGACATTATTATACATCTTATGTATTATAATCTTATATTACAGGCTTATCTTATGGCACCTGAAATAATTGTACAAATATGATAATTATCATACGGACAACCCTGAGAAAATGTGCTAATTTTCCCAGTGTTTCCAGGCTTTAAGAGTAAATGTCACCAATAAAAAACCGTATTTTGTAAAGCAGTAGACAAAAAGTAGCCAAAAATCACAATAAAAACTAGTTAGCTGTAGTCGATGGGTTTAACTATTAAATTTGATATGCTTTTATTTTTAGTACATGAAAATCTGTGTTCAAATTTAGCACCCTCTATTGTGAGTAAAACAATTGATGCAGGATAACATTTTTCTTTCAGTTAAAATACAGAACAAACATTGCAGGAATGAAGAATATGCAAAAAATTAACATTATGTATGTGGGTCCTTATTTGGGACTGGAGAAAACAACTGATAGATGCAGGAAAACAATTGATATGAGAATGATAGCTTGAGAATCCATTGTAATCTTTTTTCCAAGGTACCACTGCAAAACACACATGGCAAATGTAACTAACTTAAAAGTAGCAACTAAATAGCCAATATTTTTTAAAATTAAAATTTAACTACAAGTAGAAATAGTCACTATTGGTATGTAGTTAATGTGTATATGAATTTTCATATATAAAATACCTATACAAAAATTCTGCTATTTAGACTAGCATAATCACTATACTATAAACAAGCATAGTGATTATGCTAGTGACTATGCTAAGAAGGTAATAGGTTATGAAAAACCTGTCATTTTTCATAACTTGTTACTTTCTCAGTCCACATTAAGTTGAGTTTGCAAGACTACTACATATTATTCTGATATTATAACTTAATTTTTCTATTAGAAGTACTTTCAATAAAGAAAACAATTACAAAAAGTCATGTTGAATTAAATTTTGAAACACAGAAATAGTTTAACATTTCATTTAAAAAGTAAATTTTAAAATCATAATAAAATACCTTTTGAGATTTTGGCCAATTTTCATAAGTACATGTTGCACACGTCCATTTTATAGATCTAGTCCATGATTTATTTCTATCATTATGATAACTATCAGATAAAGTAGATTTAGGAGATATTAAACCATCGTCTGTAAGTGTCTGCCCAACCATCGAACTTTCTGCCTCTACATTAAAAATCATAGATGTTGGGCTTGTTGGAGAAATCCCATTGCGAGCTGTGAGGCACTGAGTACACTTGGTTGCACGAGGCCAGTTCAAATAAGTGCACCCTGGACATGCCCATTTATTGTAGGGATTGTTAGAACTGAAGGCACTACTGCTGTCTTGTTCATTCTGATTAGATTTATTTTCAGATTCTGTTATAAGAGGTGCCATCTGCAAAAAGATATGTTAGAAACTTTTTATTTCATTTTAAAATATTACTGTTTTATTATGCTACTTATTAACAAGAAAACATGGCTACTTATTAACAAGAAAACATGGCAATTTACTTAACACATCTTAATATAAATTAAAATAGTATACATTAATAATACATTCAACAATTTTAAAAAACTGGCAATAAAAACTTTTGTAAACTTTCTGATAAGAAAAAATATGTAACAATGGATTATAGAAGCTTGAATGTTTAATATACAGTAAAAATAAATTTTTTTTATAATTATTAATGTAATATTAATATAAATTAATAAAACTTTTTATGTTAATGTATTAACAAAATAGGTTTAATGTAAAAATAAATATAAAAGATAAATGAATAAATGAAAATTTAGTTTTTCACAGAATTAAACTTATTCTGTGAAAAATACTGGGAAAAATTCAAACAGAAACATTGTAAATTCTACCTCAGATGATAAAAATTTATCATTCAATACTAATACTAACATGTAAATATCTAAATATTAATATTCAATACCAATACATAAAAATGCTTGAGAAAAATTGAGTTAGCAACAGAAGATCATGGTTGCCAATCTTTTTCTGGAAAGGGCCATAAGAGCTCTAAAAGACAAGTCTGGGACCAGGTATGAAAGATAATATGCTAGTCAGAGATTAAAACTAAGACTTTTTTACTCCTGAAAAACAATGGACATAGATTAATGTAAAATATGCAACTGCTTTTTCAAGATGTTATCAAATCGAGAATAAATTTTGTGGCACCCAATATTAAAATCTCCTTTGATATTCATTCAACAGTGATGTTTAATTTTACATATTTCATTTTTGAAAAGATTTGTTTGCAAAAATACATAAAAGCAAAAATATAAAATATCTCCCATGAAAACTTCTTAAGATTTAAAATTCTCTTCTGGCAGAGGATTTTACAAATCCTCTGCCAGAAGAGAAAAAATCCTGTGTAAAATTTTTAGAAATTTAACAAACTCCTTTAAACAGGATTTTATAAAAATCATTTGCAGCAAGATCTATTAATTCTACTTGGCATTTAAAAATTTGTGTTTTGAACTAGTTGTAATGTTGATAAAACATGACTGAAAACAAACTATGCTGATAAATGTGAGTTGGATAAATATGCTTTGGGGCCATAGGTCTCGGTTTTTGGTTAAGGCTTGTCTTGGTCAAAGAGTGAGTGAGTCAATACAACAAATCAATTGAATTAGTAGTAGTAGTGTTTCAGTAAGTTGACTCCCAGAATGCAGCTGTTTTAAATTTATGCTGCCCTCTGTGATATGATTGGTGACCATTACACACTGATTTATTCTGGTGACAGTTTCACTGCCACAGAGTCAATCAGAATCAAAGTTTCATCTATGACACATGATCTATATTCTGTCAATCAGACAAGTCCAGGACTGTTGAGAGGGAGCTAGGGACTTTTCTCCTGGACCAGAAAAAACTTAATAGTGATTTGAAATCCTCTAAAATTAATGTTATTTTTACTAACAAAAAAAGATATTTAAGACTGCTTTTTATTAATAAAGAAACATTCTATGAATTTCATCTATTCAAAAAGCAAACAGCTAAAGGAACCCATTCTATGATGGGCCACATTTAAGCTCTTAAGTCTCAACAAGCCCTTTTTGCATAATTATAGTTAAACTCATTTATACATTTCTCAGAAGCATGTTTTTTTGCAATTATACATCACAGCTTTTATTTACTTGGATTTTTACATTTCAAATTTAATATTTCTACAACTTTGACTCTCAACATTTTCACTGGCAAGTCAGTTTGTAACTCACCAAAATTTGATGTTGCAACTATCAGTATGCTGTATCTGGTATATGAGCGTAAGAATCAAGAATGCAAATACCATAAGACGTAGTGGCCAACAATCTAACCAAAGTTATGCTGCACTCCATTGGGAAAAGGTTAAAACGTGCATGACTTGAACAAGTATAGGCTTACCAGATTGACTCTGCAAAGTGGTAACCTCATCAACAGGTAGGCAGGCTTGAAGGGCATGAGTCTTATCAAGGTTGTCAGATATCATATGTCAGAATTTAAAAATCTAGGCATATAGAAGACTAGATTTCTAAATTCTAGGCAAATAATACCTAGAATTTAGAAATCTAGGCTTCTTATACATACTTATACATAGAAAAAATTATTTTTTACACCCAGAGCAATTGTGGGAAAATTTTCACTTTTCTGAAAATATAGCTAAAATTTGCAAAAATTAACATATAAATATGAGAATTTAGCCACAAGTTTTCCAAAATTTAGTGCAAAATTGGAATGAAAGAACACATTTTTGGGCATGGGACAATGAAAAAAATCTGACTTTCCCAAGTCTTATTTATAAGTACAGTCGACCCCCCTATAATACGGTAGATACATTCTGGTTTTTATGAATCCATTTTCTACGAGTCCAGCCAATCACAGCCCGTACGTATGCAGTTTACAGACTATGGCTGTTTGAAAGGTTTCTTCCATAAAATTAATCAATTCTAGACTAATTCAACTCAACATTTCCAAAATACATATACTTTTTTGAGAATAATCCATATAAACTATGCTATAAACAAAAAATTGTAGGATTACTTACCGAGTGTGCAACGTTTGACAACGCCATTGCTTAAGCTAGTTTTCATCGTGGAGCTTGTCATTGAATGGCATTCGTGTGCTTCCTGATAAATTATTTTTTTTTGTGAAAAATTTGCTGAACTTTGGAGACATCATTAATATAATTATATCATTAATATAAATATAATTTTTATGGACATTAAATAATAAATGGTTTTTAGTAGGTCCGCTGCTCGTATAAACTCAACGGTTTGTACAATTGTCTAGATTCGACCAATCCTGTCACGAGACAAGTCGGCAATGACGTTTACTGAATTATACGAGTCTCTTTTAGCATGCTTATATGAATGAGGTCGCAATTTTTTCACTGTGATATAGGAATCTGAACTATAGGAACCCATGTTATGGGGATGAGTCGACTGTATGTACCAGCTCTTTATTTCTTAACAGTTGTAATAATATCTGCAATATATTTCAACTCAATGTTGTAGAAAGTACACAAGAAATGTTTTTTTTTTCAAAATTGACTGATATGACTCATAGATTAGTTAATGTTTATCTTTCTAGTGAGTAATGTGAGTAATGTTTTTATTTGAAACTATTAATAATATCTATGTTAAACTAGTAGTAATATACAAACATCTCCAACCCGATATATAATTATAGTTACAACCAACAGACTGCCGAAAATCTATCGGGCTAGTTTTATGCTACTTATTAGATAAATTACGTAATCAATTTGGTACTAGAGGTAAGCGTTAGGCGCCATCTCTTATTAATATTAATAATTATAAATAATTTTAATTAATTTAAATAATTTGGAACCGCTGGGAGAAAAAATCGGCCCGGAGCGGGACTCGAACCCACAACTCCTGCTTACCGTGCAGATGCGTTGCCAGTTACGCTACCCGGACCTCCGATCCGATCTCCTCTTCCAGCGTATATAATCTAACTACTTAACCATCGACGGTTATTACAACGCCGGCTGGGGACACATTCAGTGCCCACGTCCTACTTCCCATACGGCTCTCAACCGGCCATCGCAAGCCCCGGCAAGGCGTAATATATATACAAACATCTCCAACCCGATATNTAATTTATCTAATAAGTAGCATAAAACTAGCCCGATAGATTTTCGGCAGTCTGTTGGTTGTAGCTATAATTATATATCGGGTTGGAGATGTTTGTATATATATTACGCCTTGCCGGGGCTTGCGATGGCCGGTTGAGAGCCGTATGGGAAGTAGGACGTGGGCACTGAATGTGTCCCCAGCCGGCGTTGTAATAACCGTCGATGGTTAAGTAGTTAGATTATATACGCTGGAAGAGGAGATCGGATCGGAGGTCCGGGTAGCGTAACTGGCAACGCATCTGCACGGTAAGCAGGAGTTGTGGGTTCGAGTCCCGCTCCGGGCCGATTTTTTCTCCCAGCGGTTCCAAATTATTTAAATTAATTAAAATTATTTATAATTATTAATATTAATAAGAGATGGCGCCTAACGCTAAACGCTTACCTCTAGTACCAAATTGATTACGTAATTTATCTAATAAGTAGCATAAAACTAGCCCGATAGATTTTCGGCAGTCTGTTGGTTGTAGCTCTAGTAGTAATATTTGAAATTATTGTTTTTAATAAACAACTAAAAGCTGAAGTAGCTAATATAAAGGTGCAGCTTATCTATTGATCAGGTTACAACAATGACCTATATTTATCTGTTTTGATACCTCAAGCAACCATTAATAGCCTCATTGATAGTATGCCTCACAATATAGTGGCCTGTATGTAGTAGTGCCTTGGGGGCCATATTCATACTGAATAAACAGGTGTCTGTTGCATATCTTTGTTTCTTCTTTTAATCATTTGCATATGTCTTACATCTCTACTGGTCTTGTAATGTGCTTATGGCTACATGCATTCCTTTATGGTGATGCAATTTCACTTTTGAGGAGTGTATTATAAAATAGCAAAAAGGTTAATTTTGAAGGTAGAAATGAGTTTTATAAAAAAATTGAAAATACTAATAATGAGGAAAATTGTCATTAAGTCCAACACCACTCGAGATATCAGACATGACCTCCTTATATCTCCCCACCCTGTCAACCTTTAACCACCAAAATTTAATAGCATCAATACATCTAATTTCCAAACCTTCCTGCAAAATTTCAGAAAGTTTTGACAAAAAGCACAGGAGTTATTAAGCTTCAAAGTAGGAAACAAAACTGTGCTTCCCCCAAACAAACAAACATCCCTACATACAGAAAAAAACACCAAAAATATTTTTGCATTTCTTGATGTTTCAAGGTCCCAAGTCCAAGAATGTAAAAATCTGGGGTCATTTTTGACTAATCACCATACTTTACCTCGGTTATATATAACACTCAGGAAAGTA